TGAGAGAGAGAGAGAAAGAATTATTTAACCACAGATGATGGTGAAAAGAAAAAGACAGAGAGAGATGATGTTGGGAGAAAGAATTATTTAACCAAAGATGATGGTGAAAAGAAGAAGACTAAAGTTTTCTTCCAATTAGAGAAGGTTATACTTGTGTTCAAATAAGATTTGAGAAGGCTATATTTTATTCAGGGATGATTATGCAAAAGAGAAAATTGAACTCCCTAAAGAAACCGGAGATACAGGACGGCAGAGAGAGAGTTTTCTTTAGTCCTTGAATGATGGGTTTGAGAGAGCGATTTTATGTTCTTGCATAGGCTAAATTATGTTTGAAAAGTTGACGCTGATTTCGTAATCGGACTGCTAGTGTCTTAGAAATTAGCCAAAACGGCTTGAAACCGGTAGGCTATATGTCTGGGTCTAAGACCTTTTGGTTTTCACCGGTTCTCGCTTTCATCCTTTATTTTCTTTGTACTTTCAAATGAAAAAAACCTCATAAAATTGGTGAGCTAGCTAGGGGTGGCAATGGACTCAGATATGAATCTGAGTCCAAAAATTAGACCTGGCGGGTTGGTTCTTGGTTCAAATCTTGGACCCAAATACTGTTCAGGTTGGGGTTTGGGTTCAGCTCTGGTCGGGTCCTAGTTCGGGTCTAGTAATATTTTTGGGATCCCAATATAAAAAGACCCGGTTTCTATGCGGCCAAGCCCGTATATGTAGAAATGCAACCTTCTTAATAAATCTATTTTTGAGATGGATTTTAAGACTTAATTTTTAAGCACATGTAATCTTTAACATGGAGATTATGAATATGAAAAATTGAATAAAGTTTAAAAACTAAAAATAATAATTCTAATAAGACAACATTTGGACTGTTAGTTTCCATTGTTTGTAGATGGAACACCAACTTCTTTACATTTTCTGGACAATATATGTAAAAATGGGGTCCAGCCCACATAAAACAATTTTTTCATATATAAAATATATTTAAATATATAGATATTGTAATTTTTAGCTGGACTCTCGAACCCGACCCAACCTGTTTCCATCCCTAGAGCTGGCTTGGGCAGCTCCCAACTCATTAAGAACATATATAGGTGACTAGTTGGGCCCATTGATCCAGATTTTAAAAAACTCCAGAAATGAAGCAAGAGAGGGAAAGCACTTGGCTCAGCATACATGGCAATGAAATTGTAGTGGGAGTCCCAACGCGTTTGTTTACCTAAAAAAAAGAAGGGAAAAAAATCCAAAGTAAATATGGGAAAGGAGTTAAATTTAATTTTTGAACTTCAAATTTCATAGTGGGTATTAAAAGTTGATTTTAGAGATATTAGAGATTCTTGATACCCAAAATATTATTGTCTCTATCTTCCAGAGGAGGATTCGAGATGAGAATAATTACCAAAATATTATTGTGTCTATCTTAGTGACATTTTTTCCTTTTATTATCCAGGTCACTGATTTCCAATGCGGAGGCTTTGTGATCGGTCTGCAACTGAGCCACTGCCTTGTCGATGGAATTGGCGGCGTCCAATTCCTCTCGGCTCTAGCCGAAATGGTTAAAGGAGCCGACTCCCCCTCTGTAGAGCCAGTTTGGAGCCGCCACTTACTTGGCTCAGCTCCACCAGCAGAGCCCATCGACCCAAGCCGACCACCCCTAGTTTTCCCTGACTATCGGCTCGAGCCAGTATCCTTTGACATCTCGGCTCAAGCCATAAGCCGCATAAAACAAGCTTGCTTTGAAAAAACAGGTATGGTTATTGAAGGGCCATTGTCCGCATTAAACGTTCAAGAAATGGCAAATAAGGACGTTTTTGGGTGGTGTATGCATCAATGATAGCACAATGCCTACATAGTGGGGCATTTGGTGTGGGGCCCTATAACTACAGCATATTGGCTGGCCCCACATACAATAATCGTTGGTTTTAGGGAGGAAACTGGATTTATAGGGCTGCACCCTCATCAAAATAAGTAAAGCCTCATTTCATAACTCATCAAAAGTAATTTAAATATTGAAAAATTTTTAAATCGGTCATCTTGGTTTGAACATTATGGTTGTTGAACAAATGAGGATTTCGAACTCTAAAAATAATATATATTGCAATGAATTATCTACACAGGCCATTTTGCCGTAAGAAGTATGTGTTTATAAATATGCAAGATGTGTATCATTTATTAAGTTTCAAATTTTATTGTCGGTATTGAAAATTGATTTTAGAGCCGTAATAGAGATTTATGTTGCCAAAAGTGCTTTTTTGGATGGATTTGAGGTGCGGCTTTATTTTGTTTTCAAAAAGCCTAGGCCCTATAAAAACTTCATCCTTTAAAGAAAAGGAAATTTGTTGTATATGTATCCTTGGGAATGTATTTGTACATGTAATCTCACGCACACATAAAGCATCCATCTCAAAGATAGATGTAAATTGGTGGTCCCTCCAAAAAAAGTAAAAAACCAATGGTCTAAAAATTTCCATTGGTAAAATTTTCATTTTCAGTTTTTGAACTTTGTTAGTTTTTTACATATTTATGATCTCCAATTTAAAGATTATATAATTCTTAAAAAGTTGAGCCAAAATCCACCCGAAAATGGATTTTTAAAAGGGCACTCACATTTCCTAAAAAAAGTAGGTCCAAAATCCATCTCAAAAATAGATTTTTACAATGGAACTCATTTCTACATATGAACCTAGGACATATACAAATCGCATCCTCTAGGAAAAGGGCAAATCTACAAAAAAAAATATTTGAGTTGGCTTGGTCTAATGAGTTATTTCTTCCACCTAGCATGTTCGAATGGTGTTTATTAAATGATAAAGTGTAGGATAAAACCATATATCTTTGATACAAGGAAGTCACAATCGTTCTAGTCATTAGATTTGAAATCACGCATAGGTATGTACTATATTGATTGAGTTCAAAGCCCCAAAAGAAAAATCTCGATTTTGTGAGATATCCATGCAATAATGTTTTACATTTCATTGCCAGTGATGATTCTCTCTTATCTCAAATGTAAACAGTCTTGTAACATGTAAATTCCTTATTAAGTATACTTACTCTCAAGTTCTCAAGTTTAATGTAACAACCATCATGTCAGGTTTAAAAGTCTACAAAATAATGGCTGTCATATCCAATATAATTCTTACCATTTCCATTTCTTTAACAAAATGTCTGTTCCATGTGTTATAGATAATTTTGATTTACTATGTTAATCAATAAAGCTACATGCATAAAACATCCATCAAATACTTACTACCCAGTCATTACTGTTTTTTGAACCTTGTAGGCAAGCCTTGCTCTTCCTTTGAGGCCCTAGCAGCCGAGGCTTGGCGGTTACGTAGCCAAGCCATCGACTTAGAACCTGATCAAGAGACAACCCTTGTCTTCATAGCCGGCTGCCGCCACCTCATGGACCCACCATTGCCCAAGGGGTATTTTGGGAATTGTTTCTTTCCGGTGAGGGCAAAAGCATCGGGAGAGCAAATGCTTGAAGCCTCTGACGTGGACGTGGTGACGTGGATTCAAGAGGCAAAAGAGAGGCTCCCTAGAGAGTTTAGGGCGTGGCTCGAGGGGCCCACAAATGGTGAAGACGTGGAAGACCCCTTCCAATTATCTTTTTCTTATAATAATTTGTTTTTGACTGAGTGGAATAGGCTTGGATTTAGACACGTGGACTTCGGGTGGGGCACAGCTGTACACGTGTTGCCCATCCCAGCGTCCTACGTGATCCCGGCTGGTGTGGTTGTGGCCCCGCCTGAGCCCAAAAAAGGAACACGGTTGGGGATTTGGTGTGTGACTAGGGCACACGGAGAGGCCTTTCTTGAAGAGATGAAAAGCTTGACTTCAGCTTAAGTAATCTCTGTGTAATTAAGGAAAGTATGCTGCAAGAAAGTTACTTTAATCATCTCTAACTATCAGATATGAAATTGGACGGCTTGGGGTGTACCAATAATTACTTTCAAAATTTGATAAAATCATCTTTAGAATTCATTTTTTTAGGGTAGTTGTGGCTTTCTCTACAAGAAAGTTCTTATTATATACTATCCCGTATTTGTGTATTTTCTTTTTCCCATTGTATGACTTCGTTGTTAATATTGTTGTTCTACATTGGATGGTTCTAAATTGGTTTTTCTTAAGGATTTCTATTGTTTACTATTTTTCTTAAAAGAAATCTTATGGAGGACGAAAGTTCATGTTGATAGCCCATCTATGAAAACTAAGAAACTCCAAGTATAGTTGCTTTATATAATGACAAGATTTAAATTTCATAATAAGCAATAGAATATTTTCTTTTTTTTTAATAGTTTGATGTTTATATGCACCAAGCCGACTCTAATTAATTCGGATAAGATTTGGATGATGGCGATGATGCTCCCATGCACCACTAGGAAAATAGGGGCTCATATTCTTTTTGTTTTGTGCATATAGACTAATCTAATATGTCTTGTTTAGGGTTGGGGTCATGGTGGTAGCACAACATGTGCCCCAGCGATGGTCTAGGCTTTCATTCTCACTTAATGCATTAAAAAACCACTAAGTATTTCAAAAAATGGGTAGGAGCTCATCCTCCCCACTAAATTACGTTAAAAATATGTCTTGTTTGGTTATCTTCCATTCATGACTAACTTCCATGCTTCCTTAAAAAGTGTTGCTCTATAGGGGCTAGGAGATGACATTTTCATGATAAGTCTCTGATTTCTATGAAAATGAAAGGTCCAAAATTGATATCTTATCAATGATGCCAATGAGAAAGCTCTCCTCCAACTAAAAGAAAATTTTGGAACTTTTCCAACCAAACATTTATTTATTTTCAAATAGTCAAAGGATTGTATACAATGAAACCATTTACCTTTGATACAAGGAGGTTACAATTATTTATGACCATCCAATATGAAATATAATAGTTTGGTGTGTTATAAAGTTCGAGAAAATTTCTTTTAAAATTTGAGTTTGGTCAATAGAATAAATGCAATAATCCACACTTCTAATGGTCTAGATTAATTATGACTACCTTATACTAAAGGTAAATGGTCTTATTGACATCGAAATTATTCATTTAAATATTAAGCTTTGTTTGGAGCTCCAAATATGGACAAGATAACCAAGATAAGAATGAATTTTGGATTTCCAAACTCAAAAGGCACGGCTTTCTGAAACCACGATAAGTAGATGCTCAATTCTCATCTCCACAAAATGTTAGATTTTTCCTTCGATATGACAAGATGTCTTATAGAAAATAAACGCTAATCAACGATATCAATGTCGTGCCCTAATGCAAAATTCGGTTTAAGCTTTACTAGGCTTGATGCCATTACAATATATATCCTCACTGATATTGAGATACAAAGACAGGAAAGAGTTTTTACGAGGCTTGAATTTTATATTATAAAAGTAAAGTGCACCACAAAAACTCACTAGAGAACGTTATTTTAATATTGGAGAACCCTCGAAGTCATCATCTCACCACGAAGATGTATGAGTATAGGAATAAAAAAAGGATTTCAAGTCATAAAAATAGTGCTTCTTGTAACATATTATCTAGACCATCCATTTTCAAGATTTTCAAATGTTTATAGCAAGTGTTTAAAAAACTGATCGGTGACGCAAATCATCTTTCTGGAAAACCAATTTGGATCGGTGGATTTGCAATTCGCATTAGAGAGTCAGGCATATCGGGACTTTAAAAAATCTCAAAAAATCATTTAATTTTCTTAAGAATATAGTTTTTTTTATGTTTCCATAAAAACTAGTCGTATTGCATTATAGTTTTCATTATTTTACTGAAAATACATACATACTGAGAACATCTCTCATGTGTGAGTGTTTGTTATCTATTGTATGCAATTTATAGTCAAAATAAAATTCAAAGTATAACTCATTGAAATATAATAGATACATTGAAATATAATAGATATCTCTAACTCAAATTTTTATAATGAAAAGAATAAAGCATGTTATAGTCTTGGATCTTTGATTTAAGGAAAAAGTACATATAAGGTTGCAACCTTATATGTAGAACTACGGATGCACCTCAAAAATCCATCAGAAAAGGTAGTTTTAATGTTGCAAAACCCCTTTGATTGATCATCTCGACATCGAGATGTATGACCATGAAAAATAAAAAGATTTTAAGTCTAAAAAATAGTGCATTTTACAACATATTATCTACACCATTTATGTTCAAGATTTTCATATGTTTATAGATCTACTTAATTTTAACCATTTTTTAAATTTAAAATTTTATAATTAGATATAAAAATAGATTTTGAGATAATCCTAAAAACATTTTACATTACAATTATATACCGTGATAAAATTTGAAGGTGCACCGTACCTCTACAGCTACGGATGCATCCGTATGCCACCCTTGATTTAATAGAGGGAAAAAAGCTATGGCAAAAAGTATTTAGCAAATAAATAGATTAAGGTATAGTAATTAGCATGGACAGACTACGGGAGGAAATGGTGCTCTAATTTTTGAATTGGGATGAAAAGTTAAGAACTCTATTATTTGAATTTCAAATGGGAGAGAGAAGTTAGAGAAAAGAGCAAAACATGGCTACACGCCAATAATCTGTTCTCATGGAAAGGCAAGCTAGGTCCCTATACAAAATCCCAAAACAGGGAAACGGTGAGAGATTACAGGAGGAGGAAGCATGTATAAAAAAGCCACAAGAAATGCTGGTAGGAGTCCCATCTGGTTCACTGGGTGGTTCCAAGTATTTTGAGGCAATTGTTTTTGCTCCCAACGATTCTTGGTCAAGTTGGTCTTGAGATGGGCCGATTCTGATCTGGATCGGTGCTTTTTTTAAACCTTGGTTTATAGATGTGTTATACTATTTTTTAAACTTTACTTTTTATAATTTGTGGTGGAAATAGTTTTCACCTCATAGTTGGAGTTTTCAGCACCAGAACTGCATCTTTGGAACAAGATCAAGATTTTGAATGTGTAACTTATTTTAATGGGAAAAGTTTATATGGAGCCAAGGCTCTAAACGAACACATTATAGCCCACCTCAAAAATTTCACTAGAAGAGGTTGTTTTGATTTTAAATTTTATAATTAAAAATGAAAATATATTTTAAAGCTATCACAAACAGTTCCAATATTCAAACCACATTTCTCGATACTATTTGAAAGTGCATTTTATTTTGATTGTTTAGAGCCTCGACTCTATATAAACCACACCCTATTTTAATTGTTTAAAGTTTTATGCATTAGAATTACATCTTTGTACAAGGTTTGAATGTGTACCTTATTTTAATTTTCTAAAGTTAACACCTTTTATAAACTGCACCCACAACATACCATCAATGTAACATGGATACATGCAGTTGTGATAATTTGTGTGTAACCTAAATACTTACCATTTCCTTGCTGAAATCTCATTATGAAAATTACTTAAATGCCACCTAAAACCCAACCTCCTATTTTTTCTAAATAATGTTTTTATGTGTTATGTTTAAAAGGTCAATTTTCATATTTGAGGTTTTTGACACTTATATCTATGTTACATACTAGCATGCACCTATATGTCTATGTAACATAGCATATCAATAGCATAGAAAAGTCTAAGCCTATACAAACTCTGGACTTTTTTACAAATGGATCTCCAGAGCATCTTTGTTTAGAGATAAAAAAAAAGGGGGGGGAAATTGAATACATCAGACAATATGGCGTGATTCTCAATACTATGTACAAGTCTAGTATTCCGAGTTGGCTCGACGATTTTTAAATTACTCTGCCGGATTAAATCTTCAACAAAAGCGACGTTTGAAATCATTCCCAAATGAGGGATGAACATTCTCGTTTGCTTGCAGGTTACCAAAGCTACAAGAGCCGTCATAGCCATCTCAATGCGAACATCTTAACAGAGAAAGCCGAGCCTCGTATATCTCTAGCAATCTGCATGGGTTGGACCCGATGAGTCCCTCATCGGCCCAATCTGATCCAGTTATGGACCAGGTGGGTCTCAGAGTCGGGCAGACCAAAGTCTAGGTTTGAATTCTAAGGATAGACACGGCGAGTAGGTAGCGTATCAGCACACACATATTACATGTGGGTCAGACATGTAACTGTCCAGGTCCGGGTCCAAGTCAAGTCCGGACCCCACCATGTGGAACGAGTAGGGGTCACCCATTTGCACCCCTAGGAGGCATACCACAAGTTGCCAAGTTCATTTAGGAGCAATAACATATTCCCATGCCAAGGTTTCACCAGTCGGCCTCCACACATGAGAGAGAGAGTTTCATAAATCTTAGGATTCTGGTTCTTTGGAGAATTAATTTAGCCCTGTTGCATGAACTAAAAAAGAATTTAATTATTTAAGGGATTGCATATAATGAGACCATTTATCTTTTATGTAAGGTAGTCACAATTCCTTACAACCATTTGATTTGAAATTTGATAACTTGGATGTGTCACAAAGTTTGAAAAAATTTCTTTTGAAATTTGAACTTGGTCAACGGAATAATTACAGCCACCCAACTTTACATCTAATGGTCAAGATTATTGTGCCCACCTTATATAAAAGGTAAAAGGTGTAGTTTCCATAAGGTTGCAACCTTAAACAATCCATTTAAAGCGCACATTGAAATTTTATCATATCGTATAATTATCTCAAAATCTATTTTTATATCTAATTATAAAATTTTAAACTCCAAAAATGATTAAAATCAAGTAGATCTATAAACATATGAAAATCTTAAAAATTGACGATCTAGATAATGTTTTGTAAGATGCTTCATTTTTTGAACTCAAAATCCGTTCTTTTTTCATAATCATACATCTCAACATCAAGATGATCAATTAGAAAATTTTTCAATATTAAAACAACCTTTTTTGATGGATTTTTTAGGTGCATCCGTAGTTCTACATTTTAAGGTTGCAACCTTATATAAACTTTTCCCAAAGGTAAATGGTCTCATCCTATACTTTCCCATCATTTAAAGTTTTTAAAGTGATTCTGGTTCTTTGGAGAATTAATTTAGCCCTGTTGCTGAACTAAATCTGGCTGAGCATGTCACAGTGGTCAGAACTATCAGAAAGAAACAAAGAAAAATAGTCGGTATTCAACAATAAATTCTGCATATCCATTCAATGGTATTGTCGAATTCTCTAATAAATCAGGTGACATTCTGCTATCATACGATACATTATCTTAAATGTCCCTAACATTTGAGCTATACAATTGAAAGCACCAAGAAATACATATAACAAGTACCCATGGCATGGAACCCGGTGATATGATCCTGCATGAATTGGGAAGCCATCATGGTTTACTATTCCGCCTCAGAACAACCTACCATAGATCATAGTTTGTAGCTCATGAAGGTGGCACCATTATCTTGTCGGCTTCAAAATGATTGTTGATATAGGGTGGACAATAGGAATCGAAGTCATGCGCGAGCGTCTGCAACATGGGGAAAAATAAAATGGGTAGGTCGAGTATGGACCATGATAACCCTCTTCATAGTCCATCGGACTATACTAGACTTCCCATAAACGGTTAGATGACGGTAAGAAAGCATGAGAAATGAAAATTGTTCTATAAATTATAATATGACAAGCTACAATAAATTTTGCAAGAATTTTTCCAAAAAGATGTAGAAGTCATGCAATACCTTTTTCTTTCGCTGAAGTAATACATGTAATACTAGTGAAGGCTTAAAAAGTAATGAAAGTACCTGCTCCCCTGCCCGGAAATACATGAATGGCGTATAGTGTAGGAAGTTTGAAACCCTAGATGTATATATGTCGGCATATCTGCAAATAGAAAGTTCAGTGTGTATTTAAGCAAAAACCTTTCAAGAAAGAGTGATGGTGTGAATTCATGGGCAAGCACAAACTTCTCTATTTGTTTTGTCAAGTGGCTTTTATCCCACAGACCAGCGCGTGACAGGTAACCCCACCTGACAAAAATAATTCCAGAAAATAATGGAGAAATCATATTTTTCAAATAATTATTGGAAATAAAAAACATATACAATAGAAGTTAAGTACAACCTTTACTATAACTTTTTTTGTAACCTTCATTCAAATGAATTATGAAACAGTAATATAATTTAATCATCTATGCAAAGATAATAGTGAATTAAGTCATCATCATCCAATGAAATGATGGACGGTAATGGTAAGCCCGTGGACTTATATGAACAGGGCATGATCCCAAAACTGGAGTCTCACTGTCTCACCATTATCATCCATCACACATTAACAGAAGGTGATGTCCCTAAGGGCTATGGTTTTCCCGTAGTCCTTGGTATATTCTAGTACAGTTTCCAGCTAATGATTCTTCACTGACCATAAACAACAAGCTACTAAGTAGAATGATTTGGATGTTAAGACCCACAGAGCAGTCAATATGTTTGCCCACTACTCTCAGGATCTATTAAGGATTGAATGACCTTCAGTTTCACAATAAAGTTCTTAAATGTAAACCCCAATGAACATCAAACACCATCGCCATGAAAACATCCTTCCACATTAATTTGTAAATACAAAAAATCCATAATTATGCTTAGAAATATGCATAAGTCAAAAGATGTTGGGGAGCTCTACATAACTGGTATATGGTATGTACGCTGGTGAATGTCAGTCAACAGGAACTACAGTTGCTTGCTAGTGTCCATCACCGAGAATGGACAGTGGATGCCAACCCAGGTTACCTTCCATATGCCATTGTTGCATGGTATACCATACCCAAGATACGTACACACTAAGAGAACTAATACACATCTATTTAAATAATATCTATAAGCTAATAAGCAGAGGCAAATCCAAATCTTTTCTTTAATAGCCTGGATAACTCATCAGGAAATATGAATTTCTCCAAAATTAAGATATCAATATCAAGATCACTTAATTAGGTTCATTTCAAAAAAAGATCACCTAATCGGGTTTGGTTAGAACATTCAAAAATTAGTACACAATCATTGAATCACCAGTATGCAGCAATAACTAAGAAGTGAACAAATAAAAATAATAATGAAAGGGTTATATAATATATACTCTTGATACTTGAACATCTGTTTATCTCATTTCAGGAGAAGCTACTTACAAAGTGAGAGATGTTAGAAGCATTTCCTGACGATGTTTTTTGAAAATCGCATCCTCATAAGGCCATAAGCATAACATTGGAAAACATATTCTCCTCTTACCTTTTATTGAAAAGCTCTCCATCTGCTTCCAACATAGGAGCAATTTTTTCGTCTAATCTTTGCATAACAATTAGTAGCTTTTGCATGCTCTCTGCAAGTTCTTGATCATCCATGTTAGTGGCAGCAAGAGTCTGAAAAAGAGAGTCCAGATGCACGTTATACATCAATCTAGAATAAGCCAGCAAAATATTATCACTTTACTCTCTAAGTTGGCAACAGCCTCACTAAATAGAAGCCATTTCCAAGCAAGAGACAATATGCAAAGAAAATTCCAGGCGCAGGGCTTTAAATCTCCTTAATCGTCCTTGATATAGCCCAAAGACTCAATCTTTTAAAACATGACTGAAGCGGCTCACAGTTCTCTTCCTCAAGTTCGTCACATTCCTACTAGAGTAAGTGCACAAATTCAGAGTATGTGAATACCACATATAATATAGCACATCAACACTTTTATTATGCCCCCATATAATAACAGATTAACACTTTTATTATGCCAATTTCTTTCTCTCCTTTGCTTCATATTTGTTCATGCCTCCATTTTATTCAATGATATTGTTCAGATTAGCGGACCGGGACTCGTGTAGCCTATCAATTAATTGGGAAAAAAGCTATGATGATGATGACAATATTGTTCATCATTTGAGAATTACTATTTCATCTTAATGTGAATTAATGTAGTAGAATAATAAATGGATAGTTATGTCACGAAGGAGGTAATAATGATCAAGTCAAGGTCACAAAGCTGCACACATAGGAAACCATACTTCCAATGAAAGAATGAAAATGGAACCCAAAAATGAGAAAGAAATTCCAAGAAATCAAAGTTCAAATAATAGAAGTACATAAAGACACCTGTGCAGGGCGTCCTTTGGTACGCCTTTGAAGTGCAAGCCGCAATTGATTGAAAAGATCGCCCACAACTTCCTTTTGGTTCATGAGCTCTATCAGTGCTGTTCTGTGATGTCGACTGTGGATCAAAGCCCTAAACTGCAATTCCAAATTTTGTCAGTAATTGAACAATTACCTGAATTTCAAGACGTAGACACACAACTAAATAATTTCTTTTTATAAGAGAATCTTTACTACTGAATGTTTAGCCTTTATTCATGAAGATGCCATAGACTACTGATGGCAATAATCATTATTGCACTAAACGGAGTTCAGGGGTGCAAATTGGTTTGGGTCAACCCATCCTCCACTGTAGATCAAAGCCCTAAACTGCAATTCCAATTTTTGTCAGCAAGTGAACAAATTACCTGAATTTCCACAAGTAGACAATAATTAAGTAACTTTTTTTTATAAGATAATCATTACTACTGAATGTTTAGCCTTTATTCATGAAGACGCCAAAGATTACTGAGGCCATAATCATTGTTGTACTAATCGGAGTTCAGGGGTGTAAATGGGTTGGGTCGACCCATTACCATTGACATATATTCTTTTTATCCCTTGACCTGAAATAATCCTTCTTTTTATCTTTTTACTGGTTGCCACAATCATTCTTATACAGATTTCAGTCACAAGGATAAAATGAACTTGAAACTGCAAGCAATAGGAATGTTTCAAGCACCTGAATTAATGCTAGAAAATTTTAGTTGAAATTCCATAAATGAGGACTTCACATAATTGAGCACATGACTTCCATAATGCTTTGAGCATTTTTAAATTCTTCAATTTTTGTATCATTGCCAGTAGTCAAAATATTATTAATAATACTTAGGATGAGTCTGCCAGCATCTGACAATAGTTTTCAAAAACGCAATGTGCATGGCATCAAGTAGCACAACAGAGATGAAAAGAATCAAAGAAGCTTCTGCATTTCTACCGTGTTAACAGGGAATCATGCAGAGTTTTAAAGTTCCATTTGAGTAAAAACATGTTGCCAAATGCCTCCCCCATGACCGCAGTAGAACCCATACATGTCTTGCATAAAGTAAAAAACTTGCCAAACGCAGATTACAAAACATAATGGAATCCATTATATCAAAGACAAACTTAGAGTTAAATGATTAGAAAGACTTGAACAGAACTTAAGAATATGTAACGTCGCAATGGTTAAAAGTATAGTGCAAGTTGACTGCTCAATAGAAGCCTTTGCATGGACACAGGTACGTATGTCAGTGTTTGCCACAGGTATAGAGTGTTGACTTCTTCTTGCATTGAAGAAGAGGACTCAGCGACTTGGCCATATTATGAAAGAAAACAAAATCCAACAATGTTTTACTAAAATTCCATTTCATAATGAGTAGCAAGAAAAATTTTCAAAGTTCCATTGATATTTTCAAAAGGTCACATGTCAGGTCAAAACAAACAAGAAGATCAAGTCTCTTAAGGTGATGTAATCGATCTTTAGTAAACAAGAAGAAGAACTGGTATCTATATGTATGTCATGCATGTCCAAACAGAAGAATTCATGTGACATAATTAGAAGCAGAGCAAACACATACAATATTATAATTGTTCCATGGTTCCACTTATGAAAGGACTCTGCATCTTCTTCTTTTTTCCCCCTTTTTTTAATATTTTGAGGAAAAACTTGAGCATCCAGAATGAATCATAGAAAGGATACAGTTATTTTTTCCTTTTCGATAGATAATAACGGCTGAAATCAAAAGAAATAAACCCACCTCCTGTTCCAATTCAGGACAAATCAGTGCTGTTCTCCATCTCAAATGAACTTTGGATTGACTAACATCTGTGTAAATATGATCACCAACATACAATATCTCATCTCCATGAATATTCAGGGATTTCTCCACAAATTGAGCACTCCCTCCAGAATATAAACCCCCTAAGCAAAAAGGTTAAAAATGAGATTGAGAAACTAGAACACATTTTGGAGAACAAGAAATTCCAATACTTTGAACTTCAAACATGTTAGTTGTATTACATACCTAAATCATTATTGCTTAATACTAAAGATGCCATGCCTTCCTTTAGTATTATCTCCTTGCTTATTATTTTTCAAATATTACTTTTTTCTATTTTTTTCTTTTCTAACTTCTCGATCCATTTAATCATATTTTCCATTAATAGAAAAAGTTCCTTCCTAAATAAAGGAAGCAAGTACAAAAATAGGTAACCATATAGTACACATACAGAAAGATAATGATCATCTATGATATTGATGAATAAATAGAACAAAGGCATATGAGAGGTGCAATTCTTTTTCTAGTGAAGTGCGAAAAATTAGAAATAGAATAAATTGACAACCCAATCCATTAATTTAATTATGAACTAAGCATAAAAGAAACCCATTAACATATTCAATTTTATTGACAAGTAACATAATATCCTCCAATTCCTATAAGAAATAAAATAAATTATAGGCTTACCAGGATGTGCCTTAAAGCAAGGACGCATCAATCCATCATTTGTCACGACCTCATACATTGGGTGTGACATTTGAAAGAATTCTGGCTTTCTTGCAGATACTATAACCTGGATTGTACCAAAAAAGAATGAAAACTATTGATCCACCAATGTATCCTTTTGTGCTAGCCCTTAGTTTAGAAATGGACTAAGTTAGACCAACTTCACCATTTCAAAAAGATCTGTCCAATCCATGCCATTTGGAAGAAATCTATTGAAGGCATGTTGCATCATTTTATTTGTGTAATGATAATCTGAGTTGGTAATCAACAGCAACTGTTTCCCAGCCTAGAGTCAAAGCAGCCATCAAGCCATTAAAAATACAAAATAATAAACAACAGATAAAGGGAAAGTATACTATAATTCAATGGACTATGGAGAACCCTAATCAATTTTTCTCATTACCATCAAATGAACTGATGGATGGTGACGGTGAAAGAAGGGTACCCACAGTTGAGGTCATGTAACGTGCTCTTTCCGTAAAAAAGAAGAAGATTAAGTTGAAATTCAATGATAGATGATACCTCCTTTTGGTCCAGAAGAGCTAAAGGAAGCTCTGGGTCTGGGATTACAAAGCGCTCAGGTTCAGCCATTATTTCACTCTACATGAACCAATTCAATGGCTGGTATAAGAAGAGATAACACTAAAATAAACTTCAACCATGACAGGAAGCTGATTCACTCAAAGAAAAAGGAGACACCTTAAGTTGACCTTCTACATGCGCTCGGAAAAGGGCTTTGGCAACAGCCTGAAGAAATAACCAACTTTTAAGACCATATGTATTCATCATAAGTTCAAGAAAAGAAGAAGATAACCAACTTTTAAGACCATAAGGCATCAAATAAGACCAATGTATTCATCATAAGTTCAAGAAAAGAAGAAGATCATGCCTTATAAAGTCCTTTGTAGTCAAGAGGTCCCAGTTCTAAAGGTATCACTCCGTCATCCAGTCGATCCACCATCTATAAAGAGAGAATCATCACAGTCAATTACCAAAAGAATAAGGAACGACACATACTATATTACAATGGATACAATCTGATATACTTTTGATTAACATATCTAAATAAGAAAATGCAAAAAATTAGATAAACAAACAGACCAGCATTATTTCAACAACATGGAGCGAAATATAAACAGAAAATGGCACTGGCAAGCAAAACAAGAAAATAGACATCATAGAAATGAATCCATGGAAAAAATAAAGATTTCTACAACCTGCATATACATTACGGCTTCTGAAACAGAAAATAATGTATTGAGGAACTCCCATCTACTCTCCTTTCGTAAATCGACAAGTTCCCTCCCATACATCTCACTGCCATACACAGAACAGCCAAAATGAGAAAAATGTTGACCCTTTAGAGATAGCTGTAAATATTCACGCACAAAGTAAGATCTAAAAAAAAAGTAAACTTATCTAAAAATATAAAATAAAAAAAATAAACTTATCAAAAAAAAATATTACAAAAGGTTAAGGCACACCTTACAGCTCTGGTAGAAAGCATTTTGGTCCCATGCATGGCCCTTTTCACATAACCAAATCGATCAGCCTTAACCAAATTCCCCTTCTCTTTATCCATAATAAGGCCTCTAATAACCTAAACAAAGAACCATTCACATCTCATAGGTGAGGGTAATCCAATATTAATTACTATTCCTCAAACTTTATAGGCATAGAAGGGTTTCTTTGAAATCTGAGACGATTAGAAGGCATTAACTTGCAACAGACTTTCTATTGTTTGGTCGGATATATTTGAGAGAAGAAACGAAAAGCAGAATAAAGCTGAATCTTTAGAAAATTTTTATTTGATGCTGAAGGTTATAACTTCTTCAAGATGTTCACAGATAAAAGGATTACCAAATCAGGGTCAAATTGAAGCCCATCAACTGGAAAACCCATGCCCCTGAGATTGGCCATACCATAGTCATAAGCCCGACCTTCCCAAGCCTGCAATATTAGCAGCTCTTAGAGAAAGCTCTCATGGGAAATTATATGAGTAAAATCTTCATTCCTGTTACAGTTCACATCACACTTAAACGGTCATAATTTATCTAAACGAATATGAATATTAGTGGAAACAAAAGCTAACTATGGTCCAATGAACGTACTTCACTCCTAGAATGGTTCACTGCTAAATTCATTACGTGCACATTCTCCCTCTACCTACTGTGGAAACTATGTTCCAAAGTGGAAGGTTCGCTCTTGTGTGAAGATCCTAGATTCCAACATTGACAGAGTCACGTCTTGAATCCAGCTAAGCAGCACCTTACAAGCCTCCTATTCATCTGAAGCTAGGATAAAAACATACAAATCAACCACCAGAACAACCACACCACCCCCCCCCCCCAACCACCACCCACACACACACAAAAAGCCAAGCGTCAACAGTATTCCATCCCCAATGAAATTAGCCCCCTACTAAGAGATTAGAGTCAACAGTATTCCATCGCCAAATGAAATTATCTTTAGCATATCATTTAAAATCACGAAAAAATATTCCAAAAAGTCAAATTTTAAAGCCATTGGCCTTAAACCAAATAATCTCTCTCAAACCTTCCTGATGGGAGAGGGGAAAACAAATTCCAATCCTCACAACCCCAACTATTTCCATGCAAAAATATTGTTGCTCTTAAAAATACAAAGAGGACCATTACTTGGTTTTGAACCACAATGACTCGATGTTACTCAGGAAGTCAGTGAAAGAACTTGGTGTGCAGCAGAGACCTATACAACAAGTTCAGCAAAAGAAACTAAATCTAAGAACAGACCCATCACCACCAAAAAAGCAAATAAATAAAATATTTTTCTATGAAACCCAAAATTAACAATTATTTAAAGGAGAAAGTTTATATAAGGTTGCAACCTCAAAATGTAGAATTATAGATGCACCTTAAAATCCATCAAAAAAGGTTGTTTTAATGTTGAAAAGACCTTTAATTGATCATTTCGACATTGAGTGTACGAATATGAAAAGAAAAAGATTTTGAGTCCCAGAAATAATGCATCTTGCAATACATTATCTAGACCATCCATTTTCAAGATTTTCACATATTTATAGATCTACTTGATTTTAACCATTTTTGGAGCTTAAAATTTTATAATTAGATATGAAAATAGATTTTGAGATAATCTAAAGAACTTTTTACCAAAATTACATTTTATAATAAAATTTTAGAGGTGCGTCTTAATTGGATTGTTTAAGGTTGTAACCTTATAGAAACCGCACCCTTATTTAAACACGATGAAGACATCAGTACAAAATCTTGTCTTTCAATAAGTTCCTAAGCTAATTTTGACTCTCCATCAACAAAAAATTAAAACAACTGGATACAGTTATTTTTGTATTGTCAAAAAAACCAGATCATGTAGCCTGAACAGCTAGTGTAAGTGACACAGAGCACTGATCATTACCATTACGTTGTACTGAATTAAGGTATAATCCATGTCATAGCCAACAGCACTGATTGACCTCAGATTCAACGTTCTACTACAGAAGATGCCACGTGGGGAATGTCTAGTTGAAAAAGGATCCTGCAGGTTAAATAATTAGTGCAAGCATATGATATTATCCTTCAGTTGTTAGCCTGTACCTCAACATGCATTCTTAAACTTAGCTTTGAGTCAAAAGGTAAAGGCAACTGCATGATTTCTATTTTCTAGTTATCTAGTAGTCATCGAGGAATAAAGCAAGCAATTCCTCTAGTACCATAGACAGCCCTGGGCATGTAAGTTTGAATTTCTTAGATGCTCCAAAACACTCAACTCAAAGGTTGCATTTGGCATTTCGGCATCCCCTTGAAAGACACCACTGACTTGGGATGGTTTCTAGACACTGGAAATTTCAAGCAGTTCATACATAAAGCACACAAATTTTTTTTATTTCTTTTATGATTCATAAAGGATACCTGAATCCCCAGCTCATTAAGCAATGTTTCAGCCTCTTGAGCCTCAAGTCTTGCAATCTCTTCAATTGGACCTTCAAACGGTGCAAGGTTCTTGTAGCCTACAACATGACATAACATGGATATGGCTTCAGTCATCGTTAATTAAAGACACCCATTTATTCTAAGTTAACTCTCTATAACAGTGACATATGTAACTCATTTTCTCAAAATAACATCCATTTGTAGCAGGGCCCAACTGGCTTTAAGGCACCAAGCCTATAGCGCTTTTCTTTCTTTCTTTATTTCTTTCTTTCTTTCTTTATTTCTTTATTTCTTTATTATTATTCTTCTTCTTCTTTCTTTATTTCTAAGCTTATGTCAATTACTCCAATAAGAGGCAGGCTTTGTACATACACATGTATGACAACATATTAACCCAACAATATATCCAAATATTGCATGAAACAGATATTGCATGAAACAGAGACAACCCTGATAAATCTGATACAACTGAACTACTAAAAGTGCATTTTTTTTTGTGACAACGAAGGATTAAAAATACCAAAAACATTCAACAACCCTTAAAGATAAAGGCAATTTATGAGGAGAAGAAGCATTACTAAAGGCCTGTAGATGCTCCTGCTTCACATTCAAGTCCCCCTTAGTGCTTTCGCCCAAATAATCAACATCCGACTTACTGGATGAGGTTTCAGAGAAAATATCACCACCCCTTAGGGATTTAACTTCTGGATCATCGACAAAAACCCCATGGAAGCTCTGAGCTTCCGTACTGCAACAAATCATATCAAAATGCTTCATATTTGAAGCAGACTTCATGGATAAAACGGGTAAAAAAAGGGGGTTCTTTGAACTTGATAGCTTGGAACCAAAAGAAAAGAAACCAGCCGTTGAAATCCTATTCAAAATCTCCAATGAATCCATGGCCCTTTCCTTTGTTTGCCTCGATTAGAAGGTTTTTTTTTGCAGAGAGTTTCGCTACTTTGGGGCCATGGCTTGGGCTCTAAATTTGCTCCTTCAAGTAAATAATTAAGGAAAGTGTAACGAGTCGTTAACATTTGGGTTGCTCTTTTTGGGGAAAGTACACAGCAGTGCCATGTCAAATTGAATGGCTCAAGGTTTATCACAGATTTGGGAAATGCTTTTATGAAGTTTGAGTCAATGACACCCTCATAATCAATAATGTCATGTTTGCTTTATATTATATTAAATTTTACATTTAATATAAATTAATTAAATATTTATATACAATATATAAAAATAATAGAAAAAATTTAAAATATTAATTTCAAATAAAATAAAAAATAAAATTATATAGATATTTTTCTTGCTTTGGCCGAATCAACCAGAAACAGTTTGAATCTGACCAAGCGACAGTACCAGGTTTCACTTCGCTTTGATATAGGCCTAAAACTCGATGGCTTCGGCATCTTCAGCCAAAGCAAAGCAAATTTGACAACAATGCTCGTAACCGCCACATTTAAAATCTAGCCATTTACTTTTAAGGAAAACAATTATATAAGGTTGCAACCTTAAACTGTAGAATTAAGGTGCACTTCAAAAATCCATCCAAAAAAGTTATTTTGATGTTAGAAAATAGTCTAATTGATCATCTTGACATAGAGATATCTGGATATGAAAAAGAAAAACCTTTCGATTCTAAAAAATAGTGCATTTTGCAATACTATACTATTTTTAAGTTTTTCGTGTGTTTAAAATTTTGAATTATTTTTGGAGTTTAAAATTTTATAGATATAGATGAAAGTTGACTCTTATGCTATCATAAAAAAAATTATTACCAAATTTATTTCTTATAATAAAATTTGGAAGTGTGCATTACTTTGATTATTTAAGGTTGCAACCTCATGAAAACAACACCTTGTTTTTTTTGTCAAAATTACTCTCATTCATAAAATTTCAAAATGGATGGTTATGAATGTGTCATTGGCTATACTCAAACTTCAAAACAAACAAAAAATATAAAACTTTGTGATACACCCAAGCCATTCAATTTGAGATCTAATAGCTAGTAGCAACTGTGACCTCTTTGTAACAAAGATAAATGGCATCGTACTATACAATCCCATTTAACTTTTATTTGGTGACCTACATACGAAATATATTGGATAAATAAAAGTCTATACAAGCATTGAATTAGTATTATAGAAATAAGACATATCTGAAAATCTAAATAATAGGTTATTTTGACAATTGAAAATCTTTCAATTGATCACCTAGACTTCCATATGTATAAGCATATTAAAAAATAAATAAATACTTCAATTCCTAAAACTAGTTTATCTTTGTATCACATTAACCAAAACATCTATTTTCATGATTTTCAAGTGTTAATGGATATGCCCGATCTGCACCAATTTTTTGAGCTTCAAAATTCATACAAGGATGCAAATAAAATTTTAAGCGATCGAAGGGACTCCAGTACCCAAACTACATCTTCCAGTAGGGTTTAGAGGGCAATCTTGCTTTGATTTTTTAAGGCTGACCCCTGATATAAATTGCACCCTAAAGACTTTTGAGAAAATATATTATAAGACCATTTACTTGGGGCCCACAGAAGTCGGGGTGTGCCGTTGATACTGTTCAAAATAAAATAAAAAACTTTCCACCCATTTTTTTTTTAAAATGGTAAGCTTTCATTAAGATAATGAAAAAAAAATTCCACCCTCTCTACATGGAGAAATGACATTCCCAAACAAATGCACCTACACATCATAATTTTAATTGATCAGTAGCTCGTTTGCTCCCTTGGTTGTGCTAAATGTATATAGGACAAAGAAGACCATATTTCTTGCAAATTATAGGATTGCTCATGGCCGTGACATTAGGAAAGGTTGTCTAATAATCCTTGAGAAATGCATTTTTTAATAGCTCATCTATTTTGCTTGCCTTACTATTCTCAGATAACATTCATATTGGTTAAAAAAAAACACTTGTATTGTTTAAAAATTTGTCGAGAATTGCATTCTTTAGTCTCTTTAGTCTTTTCCCTTTGTTAAGTTGAAACCACTACATCATTATCATCAAAACTTTTTTCCAACTAATTGGGATCAGCGACACGAATCTTGATCAACCACTCTACTCTATCAATGAACCTCAATGAGATCAGAAGTCACCATATTCTTTCTCAGTACTTCCAAATTCCAACTATGTCTTTTTAGGCCTATTTTTTGCACTTTTTGAGCCTTCTACTTCAATTTAAAAAAATTTATTCATATCATATTAGTATTTGTAATTTTGTACTTGTCAAAGGATTATATTATCCTGCACAATCAGATCGTCCATTTGCTCCTTCCAGTAAAACCTCAGCTAAGAGTATTTTTAGGAATTTATGGGATGGAGACAAAACATTTTGCAACCTAACAACCAATCTCAAAGAAAAAAGTCATTTTTGTCCCAATCTATAACTCTATTTATCGTTTTACACATGGAGTTCACAATTACTTTTACACATAGAGTTCACAATTACTTTTGGTTGTCAAAACCTACATCTAACGGGTTGGATAGTGTCACAATGTTGTTCTAAAAGTTTCCCCACAAATACTTGAATTAGGACATGACCCCAACAAAATGCAAATGAAATAAGGTTTTAAATGTTACAGTCTACACAAGCAACTATCAACCATCCATCCTCATCAACACATGGTGTTGATGACCTTTGTTATTATAAAAAAAGGATATTTTCAAACATAATATCCATTCATCTCCACCATCCATTGATGAGGGATGAATGGTGAATTGACATCTACCTCATGCAAAACATGCAAATCTCTTTCACATCCCTTAATCCCATAAAGATCCATTTGATAAAACAAAATCTGAGTATTTAAATTTTTAGAAATCTGAATAAAGGCATTGCCAGCTTTTTCATATATCTGAGTTGTATATAATCTCGATATATATAATTTTTGTGCATGTTTAACTGCACCTGCATTTTATAATTTTTGTGTATGTTTAACTGCACCTTCATTTTAGAATTTTAATATTTGACTGTTTAGAAGAATGCAAAGCAAGCCATGATCTCAAATTAAAGACGGTTAAAGAGAGAAACCCGTTTCGAGAGAAACTGAGAAACCTCCTTCCAGAGAGAGAGAGAGAGAGAGCCACTAGGAAAAGAAGTAAAACAGCTTTAAAAGAGGATAAATGATCTACGTTCAGAGAGAACCAGAGAAACCTACTTCTAGAGAGAGAGAGAGCCACTAGGAAAAGAAGTAAAACGGCTTTAAAAGAGGATAAATGATAAACGTTCAGAGAGAACCAGATAAACGCCTTACAGAGAAGCAGACCTACATTGAAAGAGAGGCCCACTATGAGAGAGAAAGACACACTTGGGAAGAGAGTCCCATTAGAGAATGAGAGAGAAAGACCCACTAAGGTGGGGGGGGGAGAGAAACCCAGAGTGAGTGACCCACTTTTGGCTAATGTAATGACGTAACAGGTGATCTTAGAGTTAGCAATAAAATTGTCGCTGTTCCTCAAAAGAGAGAATGACCCACTGAGAGAGAGAGAGAGAGCTCATTCAAGAGCTAGAGAGAGAATCTTTTCTGTAAAACTTGGCTTAACCATATTGTGTTAAATAATATTGAAATCTTATAATATACTGAAATATCTCAATTTGAACATTTTGGCTAACGACTAAACCAGATTAGGGCTTAGTCCAATCAAATCTTGTCCTGCCGGTCAAAGTTGGAGGAATTTAAGAAGTAAAAATATTAATAACAACTTATAAAATATAAAATATATTTAATGATATGTTTAACTTTATTAACCAATCTAACCAATCAAAATTGACGATTGACTAAAACATATCAAAAATTGGTTTTGACGTGTACTTGACCGAATCCAGTTGTGCTTTAAACCAGATTAGTCAAGGCAGTCCAACTGATCAGCAAAGCAGTCCATCCATTACAATCTCAATAACCATGCAAACCACAAAAAATAACAGAAACATAAGATGACAGAAACGCTGCCTAGTTCATGTTAAATAAAGAATAATTCACTCGTACCATCGGATCAATATTGGGTACTCCCCTGAAAAATGCAATAAATACTTCGAGCTCAAAAGTAAGATAGCATCACCAGATTCATATCTACGTATGAGAGTTAAGGACTTTCAAACTAGACCAACATTTTCCAAGTCAAAAGATACATACATTATCCTGTAGAGAGAGAGAGAGAGAGAGTATTGTACAAAGAGAGAGAGAGAGAGAGTACTTATTAC